CCCAAGTCCTTCTCTGCAGGGCTGCTCTTAATCCACTCATCGCCCAACCTGTATCTGTGCTTGGGATTGCCCTGACCATGTGCAGGACCATTACCGTAAGTAATGTGATAAAATCCCCCACTTTATCAGATCTCTCTGCCATAGAACCCTGTACCTCATTTGACAACTATGTATTTCCTTAAGAATAATCTATTCTTGTAGTGGGAGATGAGAAAAAGGTGATGCAGATTTTTCAGAGCAATCCACATCATGGGAAAGCATTAAACACATGCATTTAAAAGCATGTGTTGCACCTTTGATGTGCAACATTAAGGTATTACAGATCTGAAATTTTTAGACTGGTATATTCAAAATAAAACTATTTTTAAAGGGGTACTTGTATTTAGCAAACATACCGGTCCAAATCCTCCACCACAGGATAACATCTCAGGGTTCTTCTTTAGATCAATGTGCTGCTGTGGTGTCTGACTTGTTGAGAGCCTCCAAGGCTCTGACAAAACCTTTATTAGATATGAAAGAGATGCAAACAAGTATAACACACTATTTAAGAACATGCAACTTTCCCAAAAACTAGTCAAGTAAGTTAAAAAGCACTCAATAAAGCAATATTAATGATAACTCCAGTTCCCATTTCAATGGAATGAACAATTAAGAAGGTTAAAAGAAACAGCTAAACTTGACCTGATATGCAAACCATTGAGCAACTGACATCACGATCTCATATATTAAAGAGAAAAAAAGTTCTTTCAATAGAAATGCTATTTCAAAACAGATTAATGTGGTCTATAGCCTGGTAAATTCTGCATAACAGGTCTTGTTAACAACAAGATCATTAATAGCAATATTCAAATCCTGGTAAAATACTACATCAAGTTAAAAGCTTGTAAAAATCTCTAGCAATACACATGTATCTCAAAAGTCTGTGGAAGCTGTAGAAAGTTGTTCTATTCTTGACTTAGCCACTACTCACATTTAGGAGGGCAAACAGACAAATGTGAGTGGTTTAATTTGGAGGCAAGCTGGAACACATTTTTTATTAATCAGAAAACATGAACAACAGTAATCTAATTACTTTTATAAAACCCAACCTTAAAATCTAGTTTAAATAATGAAGTATGTATCATGGTAATAAACAGTAACATTAATGTTGTGCATTAAAAAAAAAAAAAACAACAAAACCCACAATATACAGCTCCTTTAACTCAAAGTAACTTAAAAGACAGTGATTTTGTCACAGTTCCAAAAGAAAATTCTTGAGAGAAAACACACAGCCTCTGTTGTGCTGCCTTGAAAATATGTAAAACCCAGAAGCAACCAGTATTTTTTTTTGTAATACTGACTATACCTTTCTCGCAATCCTTGATAGCATGTATTACACTACAAACCTCACAGAAAGCATTACTACAGATCTATTAATAAGTGTATACATAAAGCAAAATGAAACTAACTTGTAAATCTACCAGCAGATGTTAAGCAATGCTAGCTAAACTCTTACCTTTTTTCTTAGGAAAACCAGAGTTCTACAAGTATGTAAGCAGATACCAAGAAACACTAACTAAACAAAGGATTATTTACTGTAATTAATAGTTATCAAAAGTCACTTACTTCCTTAAGGAAAGGAGAATCTACAGCAAGGTACTTGGACACAACATAAAGGCAGAACAGATGGCGGTCAATGCCAGCACCAGTCATGGCGAGACGATATAAATGCTGATGTTTGGCAGCAGCAAGCCGGAAGAACTTAAGCTTATTTTCATTCTAACAACAAAAAAAAGATGAAGAAAAATCAGTTAAGTGAACTGGGTTGAGGATGGAGGTGCAGAAACTAAGTTACAGCAATGGCTCTCAAGCCTAGAGCACTTCATGGTAAAAGTATAAGATGATGCGTGCAACTAACACCAAATACTAGTATCCTCTGACTTTTCAACCTCATGCATTCAATTTCAGGTATTAGCAAGTGTCAACCATTACCTGTTGTAAACAATGCATAGTGAAAACAAACTTGTATTTTAAGTGTGATCTAAACCAGAATCAAACATGATTACAAGTCAAGTTTATTACATTATTGTACATTTAGTTTCTGGAGACCTTAGTCTTAAAAAGTTACAGAAGAGCAAACCTCAGCATGATTTAAGGCAAGCTGGAACTGCAACATCCACTTTAAAAAGCAAACTGACAACACTGAAGGTACAGGAGTCCCTGAATGCTGGTCTTTTTTAAAAAGCCTTCTCTTAAGAGCTCAGGAGCAGGCAATTCCAAAGCGTCAGAAGTCAAGCAAGAGGGGTAAAAGGCCTGCTTGGCTGAGCAGGGACCTTCTTCTAGAACTTAGGTTGAAAAGGAAAGTATATGGACCTTGGAAGCAAGGACAGGCGACACGGGAGGACTACAGGGATGCTGTTTGCCACTGCAGGGAGAAAATTCGTGTGGACAAAGCTTTATTAGACTTCAAGCTGGCTAGTACTGTGAAGGACAACAAAAAGGGCTCCTCACAAATAGGGACATAGACAAAGCAGAGACATTTAGTGCCTTCTTCACCTCTGTCTTTAACACCAACGATGGGCCCTGGCACCCCCAGAGCCCTGTGTTGCAAGACTGTGACTGGGGAGGACAATAAACTCCCAGCCAACTCTGAACTTGTTCAAAACTTGCTGCTCCCACTGGAGGCACATAAGCGTATGGGGCCCAGTGGGATTCAACCCAGCGTAGGAAAAGAGCTGGCCGATGTTATCACGGGACCTCTCTCCATTATTTTTCAATGGTCTTGGGAATATGGAGAGGTCCCCGTCAACTGGAAGCTGGCAAATGTTGTCCCAGTTTTCAAGAAGGGTAAGAAGCAAGACCCTGGTAATTACAGGCTGTCAGTCTCAATTCAGTGCCTGGTAAAATTACGGAGACTGTCATTCTGGGAGTTATTGAAAAACAATTGAGAGACAATGTAGCTATTGGTCACAGCTAACACAGGTTTGCGAAGGGAAAGTCCTGTTTAAGTAACCTAATTTCCTTTTACGACACGGTCACCCACCTAGCTGGCCAAAGGAAGCCAGTAGATGTGGGATGGTTTGGATTTTAGCAAAGATTTTGATAACTGTCTCTCACAGCATCCTTCTAGACAAAATGTCCAGCATACAGCTAGACAAGTCCATAATACATTGGGTGAACAATTGGCTCATGGGTCAGGCTCAAAGAGTTATAATAAATGGGGTTACATCAGGCTGGTGGCCAGTCACCAGTGGGGCTCCCCAGGGCTCAATTTTAGGGCCAGTGCTCTTCAATGCTTTTATAATGAATCTGGACACAGGACTTGAATGTACATTAAGTAAGTTTGCCAATGATACTAAATTAGGAGGAGCTGTGGACTCCCTCAAGGGTAGAGAGGCCTTATGGAGAGCTCTGGATAGACTAGAGAGCTGGGCAATCACCAACTGTACAAAATTTAACAAGAGTAAGTTCCGGATTCCGCACCTGGGACAGGGTAGTCCTGGTTATACGTACAAACTGGCGGACGAGAGGCTGGAGACCAGCCCTGCAGAATGAGATCTGGGAGTTTGGGTCAATGGCAAGTTGAATGTGAGTCAACAGTGTGCCCTGGCAGCCAAAAGGGCCAACCGTGTCCTGGGGTGCATCAAGCACAGCATAGCTAGCTGGTTGAGAGTGGTGACTGTCCCACTCTACACTGCACTGGTGTGGCCCCACCTCGAGTACTGTGTGCAGTTTTGGGCACCTCAATATAAAGTCATCAAACTATCAGAGTGTGTCCACAGGAGGGCAACCAAGATGGTGAAAGGTCTCGAGGGCAAGACATATGAGGAGCAGCTGAGGTCACTAGGTTTGTTCAGCTTGGAGAAGAGAAGGCTGAGGGGTGACCTCACCGCAGTCTACAACTTCCTCAAGCGGAGAGGGAGGTGCAGATCTCTTCTCTCTGTGACCAGCGATAGGACATGAGGAAATGGAATGAAGCTGCATCAGGGGAAGTTCAGATTGGACATTAGGAAAAGGTTCTTCACTGAGATGGTGGTCGGTCACTGGAACAGGCTCCCTGGGGAAGTGGTCACAGCACAAAAGCTGTCTGAATTCAAGGAACATCTGGACAACACTCTTAGTCATATGGTTTAGTTTTAGGTATTCCCGGGAGGAGCAGGGAGTGGAACTCAATGATCCTTATGGGTCCCTTCCAATTAGAGATAGTCTATGATTCTACGAACACTGCATGAATGTTGCAAGGGCTGAAAGAAAGTGTCTGTTTAAAACACTTAAGACACCCATTGTATTAAGATTTTATAATGTGGAATGCAACACACCAAGTATATGGCAAACTGTCACTTCTTATCTCCAGCATCACTGCATTTTACACCACTTATTTTGGGACACAGTGAGCAGCCTATTGGCTGCCAGCATGATAAACTAATAAATCACTTGTAGTCATACTAGGCATGCCTACCATTGGCATTCAGGAGTAAAGCTTTGTGGATAGTCCATGGAGGATACAAGTGCTCAGGAAAAATTCTAAGGAAAAACCCAGAGAAAAGTAGAAGCAAGCAGTAAAGGCAGACAACTCTTTTTAAAATAATATACAAATGCATATAATATAATCTTCATAACACATAAAAACTAAAAATTGCATTATGAAGGCAGGGTTCCTGTGCTCTGTGGCTGATCATTCCAGGTGAAGGACAGTAATGAATCAACAAGTCTGAAAAAGAAACAGTTTTGTAGTAACCATTGGAAAAATAAAGAAGTGAGCAGAATGAAGTCTGCTATATATATGATCTTGCCATGTATAGGGCTACCTTATGCCTTTAACAAAAATGCAGATGTTAACTGCAGAGATGTAATAGCAGTTAATTCTGACATTAGGATTATGTCAAAATTACTTTCTATACACAGGGTAGTTGTACAGTAGCTGTGCCATACAGTTATGTATGACATGTTGACATGGCTGGATTTCTAGACTTGCACTGGTCTGATCACAGCTCCCAGCACGGCATATTGATAAATCCAGGGGGATTTTATCTACATAGAACTTCCAGAAAGAGGAGGGAGAAGAAAGTTTCTCTTTCTCTGTGCAACATTTATTCATAGAATCATGGGGTTCTTTCTTTCTAAAGAAAGCTAATCTGCTCATCTGCTTAGACTTCTCTGCCCTAAGATATGATCAACTAAAACTCTGTCCTGAAGGACCATTATGTAACTTACTTTTAAAGATTTTTCAAAGTGAAAACACAACCTCCCCAGGTAATGTTTCAGGCTTCTCACTATTTCCCTCCTTACTCATTATCCTTACCAGCAGAAAATGTTTCCCTAATGTGTTTCTTTCTGAAATTTAAGTCCATTACTTCCTAGGACAGAGAACAGATTGTTCCTATCATCTCTGCATAAGCCTTTTTATCATCTTGAGCACAACCTGGCTCCCCACCTCTTCCACAGTGTTCTCTCTTCTTTAGACTAGGCAAGAATAATTAAGTTCAAACTCTCCTCACAGATCATCTTCAGAGGTTTCTAACCATCCTTCTTGCTCTCCTTTAGACTGTCTCCAATCCATCCATACATCAAGTGTAGTGTCCAAAACTGGACACACCACCCCAGCTAATACTGTACTAGAAAAAAAGTGCAGAGACAAAAGACTACTAAAAATAAAGGGCAAGACTAACTGAGGGCTCCATTTTTCCCAATGGCATAGCACTGCATGTGTTATGTTAGTATTCAGTTACTGATTATTACAATCCTAGGTCTTTTTCATTAGAACTTCTACCCATGCAGCTGTTACTCAGGCCTGGATGCAATACCTTGACTACATTCCTATTTAACAAAATCCTCTTTTTCTGGTCAAATTTTTATTGACACTGAAGAACTGGAAATCCCCTTCAGCTTAGCAAAACCTGCAAATATAATGATTTATTGTCTACCTGGACTTCAGTAAGGTCTTTGACACTGTTTCTCACCGCATACTCCTTGAGAAGCTGGGAGCTCATGGCTTAGGTAAGTGTACTCTGCCCTGGGTAAAAAACTGGCTGGCTGGATGAGCCCAAAGGGTGTGGTGAATGAAGTTAAATCCAGTTGGCGGTGGGTCACAAGTGGTGTTCCCCAGGGCTCAGTACTGGGGCCAGTTCTCTTTAATAGCTTTATCAGCGATCTGGACGAGGGGATTGAGTGCACCCTCAGTAAGTTTGTGGATGACACCAAGTTGGGAGGGAGGGTTGATCTGCTGGCGGGTAGGAAGGCTCTACAGAGGGATCTGGACAGGTTGGATTGATGGGCCGAGGCCAATTGTATGAGGTTCAACAAGGCCAAGTGCCGGGTCCTGCACTTTGGTCACAACAACTCCATGGAGGGCTACAGGCTTGGGGAAGAGTGGCTGGAAAGCTGCCTGGCAGAAAAAGACCTGGGGGTGCTGGCTGACAGCCGGCTGAATATGAGCCAGCAGTGTGCCCAGGTGGCCAAGATGACCAATGGTATCCTGGCCTGTATCAGAAATAGTGTCGCCAGCAGCAGCAGGGAGGTGATTGTTCCCCCGTACTCAGCACTGGTTAGGCTGCATCTTGAGTACTATGTTCAGTTTGGGGCCCCTCATTACAGGAAAGACATTGAGGTGCTGGAGCATGTCCAGAGAAGGGCAACCAAGTTGGTGAGGGGCCTGGAGCACAAGTCTTAGGAGGAGTGGCTGAGGGAACTGGGGTTGTTTAGTCTGGAGGAAAAGGAGGCTGAGGGGAGACCTTATCGCTCTCTACAACTACCTGAAAGGAGGTTGTAGTGAGGTGGGTGCTGGTCTCTTCTGTCAGGTGGCTGGTGATAGGACTAGAGGAAATGGCCTCAAGTTGCGGCAGGGGAGGTTTACATATTAGGAGAAATTTCTTTACTGAAAGGGTTGTCACATATTGGAATAGGCTGCCCAGGGAAGGGGTTGAGTCACCATCCCTGGAGATATTCAAAAAGCGCTTGGACAAGGCACTTCAGGACATGGTTTAGTGGGCATGGTTGATGGTTGGACTCAATGATCTTGAAGGTCCTTTCCAACTTAAATGATTCTATGATTCTATTTCATCAACTGTATCTGTGAAAACTGTGACTAGCAGTGGATTAAAGAACAGACAGCCCTCAAGATGACCGTCCTCCACCCTTCCATTTTGACAGCAAACATTTTAACCAGTATTGTCCAAGTTTTCCAAACCAAGAAGTTTTCCCCTAGACCATGTTTGCTTTGTTTGCTAATCAGAACATCACAAGAAAGATTAAAAAGCCCACTGAAATCAACATGTAAGAGGAACTACTTATTTCCTGTGAATAATACTTGCTTCCCTATCAGAAAGGAAAGCCTAACTGATATGAGATTAGTTGTTTTACAAACCTATGTTTGAGTTACAAGTCACAAAAATTTCACAAGTCATCTCAGTTTTCTGGAGTTCAGGAACTGTAAGAAATGGCATATTTGGCTATGTTACTGCCATTCTCTTTCAGTACAGCCTTGAATATCTGCCATATTGATAGAAAATGTGGACTATTACCTTATGCTGCACTTCCTTCCTAAAAAACAAAGGCATCACTCTAAGTGTTTAAAAACTATTTGGGAACTTATATGGATATCTAGTGATAACTCATGTGCTTTATGGATTGTATAAGGCAACAACATCATGAACTTACACTTTCAGTTAGGTCTTCCATGGTTCGAACAAAATTGCATGATTCAACAGTACACGAACGAACAGTTTCGGTCCTGCCTTCTCTGAACAAGCGTGTCATAGAAGCTTCATACGTTAAAGAAAACTTTCCCATGTCCTTGAAAAGGGAAAAATAAGAACTTAAAGTTTTAGCCAGACTTAGCCCCTCTTTCTTAATCAACAGTTCAAGGTAAGCACACAGGATATGAATCACTCCAGAAATTAAATTCAACATTAATTTTTTAGTAGCCCACCATTAGCAGTCTTACCTAAAGATAATAAAGGAAAAAAAGAAGATTAGCAGTAGGATTTGATAAAAGCTAATAGAACAACCAAACTAGGAAGGACTACCCTCTGTGTTTTATATTCAGTCTTCTTCAGTTTATAACAGAAGTTGATTTAAAGGCTATCAAAAAACTATTTGAAAGTTCAGTGCCTTCCTAATTAACACAGATGTAGTAAGTAATCAAGCAAACTGTAACATCCTTAAAAGTATTTTCAGTTAAAAGTTTAATAGCATGGAGATGCATGCCAGTATGGGGAATTTCAAGAATGTGAGAACTGAAAAGTGTCTGCAAAATCCAGGAAGTGTGGCTTCCATATTTCCTGTAGATGTGCACAATCTACAGATTAAAAGTTGCCAAATGATAGAAGTTTATCTAACACGTTAGGAACTATACCTGTCTAAAATATACATCAGAAGAGATAGTGACAGACTGTTCAGTTTTAGATTAAGAGGATGGGTAATCAAACTATTTGCCGTGTAACTACCCTAACCAAAGGTAAGAAAGACTGTAAGTGGTGATAGTAGCCAGGAAATCTGGATGCTTTGCAAAACCATTTGGTATTACTTTAAAAAAAAAAAAAAAAAAAAAAAAAAAGTAGAACAGTACCTCAACAGTAACAACTAGAAAGCAAAATGATAAACATGCATGTTGCTACACTGGTGTTTTCTGAAAGCACGTCATAAAAAAGGTGAAGAAGAAAACATAGGCAGGAATTTCTGTTAATTCTGTTAGGGAGTGTTCATGACTACTGAATTAAGGGTGACTCCAAACTAAAAGATAAGTTTAATATTGCTTAGATAACAACATCGTTTAGATTATAAACACAGCTCCTGGAAGTTTTATATCCACTTCTTTCAAGTCCAGAATGCCTAGGGATAGACCAACTAAGCAGAAGAGAAAAATCTGCACGAGTGTCAATGTGCCAACCTTTGGACTATTAATTTCCAGCTAGTAATCTGTTTAGGGTTTGTACCAATGTCCATTGAATGTCTTTAATAACCTTACACAAGCAGTGCAAGATTACTCTAAAGTACTTCACACAGTTACATGTTTTAATCACAAACATTCTATACCCTATTTAATGAGATTCTGTGAGTCAGAAAGTCTGTTCTTACCCGATAGTGAGCAAGCTGCAGGGCAAGTTGCACGAAGGCATCAGGGCTGGTTTTTGCTTTCTTTATTAGTCCCTTCCCAAAAGCATCAAAGAAAAATGAATTGAAGTCCACATCATCTGCCAGAGCTACGGCAGTGCTCAGAGACCTCTCAATCACTTCTTGACACTAAAATAAATGAAGAAATACATAAATGCACATACATGCATATACATGCATTTGAGAGAACTGCTGAAAAAATGTAAGCATTTTTAATTGATAAGTAAGAAATGCTGCTTTTATGCATGCCAGGAACACCATTATCTAAATAATCTAACTTTAGAGAAAGGGGAGAAGCTATCTTTCTGGCAAAGTTAAAATTCAAACAGCTAATAAGTCAGTTTTAAGCCAATACACATCTGAAGTCCAAAAATTACACTTTAAAAAACATCAGCATTAAGACTGTTCAGATCACTAGAACATAAAAGAATGACCCACAGAGATAGAATGGCAATAGTTGTGTGGCTTCCAATCTACCATACATGCTTAATTAAACATATCACCAGTCATTACCTTTTTATTCAAAATTAAAATCCAAACAGGTGGTGGCAGTTTGTCTTGAACTCAGGCAAAAAAAAAAGAATCAAACCTTATTAGACATGTATACAGAATTTTGGACAGAAAAAAGATAGCTAATCTCAAGAAACTATTACATTGTTGTTACAATAGTAATGAAATCTCAGCAACTTAAACCTCATTTTAATACAGTTACTATTTAAAACAGGTGGCCACTTATTTTTGACATGTTGCCAACCAAGAAAGTTTCTAGTAAAAAGTTGGCATTTCCTGGCCAGAATTTTTAAAGAGAGATGTTAAAAACCTCTGATATCTTTTTAAGCAAACTGAGTAGTGTCCACATATGAAATACACATCTTACAGGACTCAAAAGGAATTTAAAGCTGACTTACAGGGTTTATCAGTAATTACTTGAATTATTTGATTACTCAGGAAAAGAGGAGCTTCTTCATCAAACCAGTAGCTATTCTGTACTTACTTCTTCTGGAATTTCCCACTGTAGTTTGGTAGGAACAGGAATATTTTGATTGGTATCTCCTTTGCAATGCCCATCTTCTGAATAGCCCAGTTCAAGATACTCAGTTGCCATTACATTCTGCAAAGAACGATACTTCTTCAGAATTGCAACATTAGGATTTCATTGTGAAATCAATATAACCCATTTTCAGCACATGGTGAAATATAATATACAATCCATTTCCAAATACTGAAAACAGCTGCAAGTGAAGCTCTCTGTTTTACCTCTTATTTTAAGGCATTTTTATCTGTGTTCTGAGTGGGAAGAATACCAGATATGCACAAACACCAGTTCAGTTACACTGGTACACTGTGCTAGATGCTACTGAATCCATCAAAATGTTTCAATTAAAAACCCACCTCAAACTTACTAGTAGTAAAAAAAAAAAGTCAGTCTTAGTCTTGGATTTCACCACCTTTGTTAAATTTAGATTCTAGAGTATTTCTGCAAGTTTGTTATCTGTCAAAACTTGTTCATCAAGAAACAGTTTTTTTCAGAGTAAGTGCATATCCCTACAAGATTTTAATCATTTTTAAGATTTGCATCCCACTCAAAATTGCAGCTTATTTTATATGTGCACTAGAGCTCTTGGGTAGGGAAGTAGAATGTTTCCAAGATGAACAATACAACCTGAACAACAGACAAAAAAGGGTCTGTTTTACAAGATTTCAAACAACGTCCTCAATGTAAACAAACAAACACCAACCAAAAAAACCCCAAACCAAACCAAAACCCACTAGACAATTATCAATGGATTTGAATCTGGTCAATATGGAAAGAAAAAGCTTGACAAAAATCTATTGCATGTTTGGCACATATATTTTAAATCTCTTCTTTTAATTTTCTTACTTAGTGGTCAGAACATGCCAACTACGAAATAAAGCTTAATCCATTCTACTCTAAAAATAGACAATCTATAAAAGAGCTAACAACAAATAACTTTTTAGGAAATGAAATCCTATTTAGTTTATTTTAGTCATCTTAATTCTTAGTAGAAAGTGAACCAACTAATAGTAAGTACAGAAATGTGAGCTAAAGCATATAACATCATTCGTTAAAAGAAAACAAAGTAACTCTTTTCCATTGAGCTAAACTGCACTGTCAAGTCAATCTCAAATCAGTTTGGCCTTCTTTCTTCCCTGGTTAGGGAATACAATGAGGATTTTTTGTTCTTACACACATGGGAACATTCATATAATAAAATTAGGAAATTAATTGGGGCACCAGTCAGACCTGAGACCCATTTGCATACATAATGAAAATCAGAATTGACTAATGTTTATGAAATAGTTTTGACTGATTGAGTCATGTAACTGTTTATGGGTTTAAGCTTCAAAAAGAAAAATAAAAAAAAATAAAATAGGATTTCAAGTAATAAACTAAGCTCATGATGAACAGACCTAACAAAAAGGGCATTTACTCCTTTCACTGCAAATAAATACAAGACAAAATTTAAACAGCATATCAATCTGCAGCTCATCAAACAGTGCCTTAGAGGAAAAGTTAAACTCTGTACCATTTCTTTAAATTTTGAAAGTAAGGCTGGGATTTTTATAGCACAGGAAAGAGTAGGTGCTTCAGGAGCATGCACATATGCAAAATACAATGCCATATCAAAAAGGCAACAATCTATTGATTTAAAATATTATAAACAAGTTAGATGGGGAGCTGTATCACTTTTCTGTGAAGACATCTATGCTCATTAAAATGCAATAAAGACCTTTAAGTTAAAGGACAGCAAGCTTTTCTTTTAAGCAAGGTTTTTTCCTTTTAAGTTCTACAGTTGCTGTAGACACAGGCCCATAATCACTCATCAACAACGTGAATGCAAGGGATTAAAAGTAATTGCTGATCTTCAGGACTGTTGCACCGACCACATCACATTATCTGCTGCATTAACTTTTTGTACTAAACACCTACCTCCCACAGGTGTCCAACAATAGGAGCATCTGCCCAAGAGTGCTCTGCATTCAGACCCGTTCTGCCATTTTTGAATACTATAAGAGTGAATGTTTTATCAAACCACCTACAAAAGAAATTAAGATTTCCTTATGGTTTTATACCTTTCAAAACCATTTTTGTACTGTAACTTCATCTCTCGAAAATTCACATTCAAATGCAGTAGTTCTTGGATTTTTTTTTTTAAATAATACTTTATTTAAATAAATAGATATAAATTTGAACCTCATGAAGTTTGACAAGGCCATGTGCAAGGTCCTGAACCTGGATCAGGGCAATACCCAGTATCAACAGACTGGGGGATGAATAGATTGAGCAGCCCTGCAGAGAAGGACTTGAGGTACTGGTGGATGAAAAGTTCGACATGAGCTGGCAACGTGTGCTTGCAGCCCAGAAATCCAATCACATCCTAGGCTGCATAAGAAGCAGCATGGCTGGCAGGTCAAGGGGAGACGATTCTCACCCTCTACTCCACTCTATTGAGACCCCACCTGGAATACTGCACCCAGCTCTGGGGTTCCCAGTACGAGACAGACATGGACCTGTTAGAGCAGGTCCAGGAGAGGGCCAAGAAAATGGTCATAGGGCTGGAACACCTCTCCCATGAAGAGAGGCTGAGTGTTGGCATTGTTCCATCCAGAGAAGAGAAGGCTCTGGGACACCTTGTGGCTTTTCAATATGTAAAGAGGGCTTATAAGAAAAACTGACAAAGACTTTTTAGCACAGCCCATAGTGACAGGACAAGGGGCAACGGTTATAAACTGAAAGAGGGTAGATTTAGATTCGTCATAAAGGAGAAAATTTTTTTACAATGAGGGTGGTAAGACACTGAACAGGTTTCCCAGAGAAGTTGTGGATGCCCCGTCATTGGAAGTGTTCAAAATAACATTGGGCAAGGCTTCGAGCAACCCGATCTAGTGAAAGATGTATCTGCCCATGGCAAGGGGGGTAGACTAGATGACCTTTGAAGGTTCCTTCCAACCCAAACATTCCATGATTCTATGAAATTTATCAGCTTATAAGTCACTAATTCATATGTATTAGCCAGGTGAATAGTGAAATTCTAAAAAAGAGAAGGCGTTTCCCACAGAGTCAATACTGTACCTGTCATAACATCTGCCATGTATTAAGGATTTTGCATACGCATCCAGTGACCTCACTGGATCTTCTTTCCTGTACCCTTGTTCGATGTCATCCAATGTCACAAAAAATGCTGCTTTTTCAACAGCATCTAAGGACTGTTTGTTCTTTCCACGGCTAAAATAAGCCTGTCGAGCTTTAGCCCATGGTACTCTGCAAAAAGAATTTGGTTTATAGCCAGATTACGTGAATTTGTCAATGTTTTATCACTCTTAAGATTACTATGAGACATTCCTCCTACTTCTATCAAATCTGAAGCAACTACTTGCATTGCATTTAAACTATACCAGCAGTGAAAAATTCTGAAAATACACGTATAATGTAGTCCTAGGAACCAATTCAACATGTCATCACACGTGTGAAGCTTAATCCTCAGAAATTCAACACTTCTGTGGCATGCAATATGTATAGCATAGATCATCTACATTTATACCTGAACAAAAGAAAATATCTAATATATGGAAGAAAACAGTAGTAATAATAAAAACAATCAACAGATACTAATATCCATTGTTGTAACACCTAAATCTAAGAGTCTGGACAATTGTCAATAAAAAGTTCCATGGTAAGTACCTGAAACAGATCTGAAGTTAAAGAAGTCCTGAACAACATAATTTCTGTATGGTTGCATGTTTATTTATAAATTTATGTGGTTTTCCCAATGAAAAAATATTTCCGTTTGTTTTAAAGCAGAAAATGAGAAAAAGGAAAGACTCCTAGTAAGAAAGTATATTAAAATCCACAGCTCTTTCTCTCCCTTGTCCAGAAACTACTAGACAGATTGAACTAAGTTTGTCACAATTTAATTGAATTCAGTGATCTTGCATTTAGAACCAACTGAGTACATACTGCTTTATTTTGTAGGTGCAAGTCATGAATACAGAGTAAGTTACTGAATTCACAATCTTAAAAATTAAGATATTCTTTAAAATGCCAGTGAGCCCCACAGTAAATGTAAAATTCAAGTAGTTCAATATGTGTAATTAAATCTGTAAAGCTTTTTATTACCACTCTTATGATAACTATGATTAAACCAAACTTCTCCAGCTAACTATAGCTAATCTGTATACAGGGTTGCCACTGCAAAATTACTTTTAACTCCATGTAGCTATAAATGACTGAAGAGCTGTTACATGTTAGCAATATACAAAATCGGTGACTGAAGTATAATAACTGACTGCAGACTATTTTAAAATTCCAAAGCCAGTATTCTATTAGTATGTTATGCAATAATTTCTAAATACTAAAATGAATTTAAAAATTAATAACCACCATACCTATCTCCTGCAGTAAGAGCTGCTAGTTTCTCTTCACCAGCCTGAGGCTCTGAATCATCATCAAGAATTCTTTGCATCTGCTGTTCAATTTCTCGGGGTTTCAATAGTCTACCATCATGGTACAGCCACACTTTGAAGTAACGTCCCTTATGATACACAACAATGTGTTTGCTGTCTTTCACGTGCTGGAGAGTATCTAGAATTGCAATCACTTACGTGAAAACAAAGCTGAAGTCTCAAAACACTAATGCACTAAATAATGTCAAATACCTACTGCATGCACTACTGGTTAGCCACAGTTTATTTATTTTAACAAAGTAATAAAGAGTGTGGAATAAACCACTTCCCATGTTATTTCAGCACAAAGATTCCTGCATGAAACAGTCAAATACCCAGATTTGATAATCATTTGCATATATAGCATCTCCAGTTTCCACAGTAAAAGCCAATATTAAGCAACTAAATCTGTATTTCTGTATCTGAAAAGTGAGCACTAGTAGTGTAGTCTGATTAAGCGGTCAGCAAAAGAACATCCTAGGTGAGTCTGAGCAAAGGTACTTTTAAATCATCTGCATTCAAGTGCTAGACAACTCACAGTACAATCTGTGGGGAGTCTCAAGAGAGCCAAAATTTAGTACCATAAGCTTTTGTTCACATTTATCTTGGCAGATGCAGAGTGAATACTCCATCTATGGCCAGAAAGTGTAGTGTTATGGAAGTCAGTGAGGCAGAAACCTAGGCCACAATTTTTTCCTCACTTTATTATTTATATGGCTGAACTTAGTCATGAAGGCATTGTATCAAACCGCAGATGAAGGTTTCTACAGCAGCCAGGAAAAGCCCTCAATTGATGAAAACTGTTAATTGAATTCCTTCACTACCCCAAAGAACTGTTATATTTCTGTGAATCTGAAAAGACCTATTATTGAGATGGTGAAGAAAGGTGATGTCAAAAATGAGGGCTAAGCCTAAAAGCCATGATTCTAAGAAACATTGTACCAGGAAAGAGTTCTATACTTTGGGTGCTCTCAGCTATTCATAAAGTTTTGGTAGGTATGCTCCAACTACCAATCAGAAGTTTTATGCTAATCATACCTTTGGCTATAAAATTTGCATTTCTGCCAAAGATAGGATGCCTGTGATAAAAGTGCTAGGATTGGCAGATGCATCCATCCAGCTGTCAAGAACATTAATACACGGATTGTGAACTGAAGAGAAACGCCACAGAGGGGGAAAAGAAGAGGCAAAGCAATCAGCTAGTGAGGTAACTTTTTCTATAATCCCAGCATGAGTCAGGACACCTCAACTATCTGTCTTATGTACACGAGGTGCCCATACAAAAAAAGACAACCTCGAGTACAAAAAGCAAAAGTGAGATCATTAGCCACCAGTACAGTCAACAACTGACTTCACAAGAGCTGTTGAGCCCTGGCAATTACCTTTCAGACACCTTACTTATGGGCCTAAATACAGATTTATGCACCTGGAATACAGATTTGTTGTAATACAAAAAAAATCCATTCCTTTTTCTTGCCAGTCCAAGTAGTCATTTATGTACATCTGAAGATACATGTAACATGCTGCATGGGTTTCCTATTAAAAAAAAAAAAGGGGGGAATGGAAAGACATAAAGGCTCTTCCCCGCTTAAAAGAAGGGGTTCACTCCATAGTGTGTTTTGTTGAAAGACATGAAAATTAAACAATTGCTCAAGTGACAGGATACAATGTTAAGATTTTACCACCAACTAACTTGAAGACATGCCACAGAGTTTTTTTTCTTTTTTAAATATGCTGCTCCTTTATGAACTGTAACATACATAAAATACTTAAATTATAATTGAAATCAGGGGGCAAGAAATCAAGCTACTCATGAGAATCTGGAAAAATTGTCTTTATAACTCACTTATCCTCCACATACAGAATGACAAAAGTTGTTTTTCTTTTAGGAAAATAAAACCAATGAAAAACTGAAAAAGTAGAAGAGGAAACGTGAAGTGCTTCGCAGGAAAATAAGGTAATTTTATGATGCTGACTGTACTTTTACTTGAAAGACTTTAAGCAGGAGAAACTGAGGAGAACCATTAAAATATACAGGACGTATTTCAAACAGGTGTTACAGTTAGAATGGGTCACTTTTACACTTCTGTGCAAGACTCATTTCAGACTAAGAGAACACCAAATCCAAAGCTAAAAGCAAACAGTTCATACCTTTTATTTTATTGAGGACAGGGAAGGGGCAACGGTAGCCCTTTCAGTACTTGAAGTATTCTAAATAACAATGGCTAATACACTAGTTGTCCAACAGAGCTTTTAAAACTTGCTAGTTTAATTAAGCTACTACTTCACGATCAGGGAGTAATCACATCAGGGGTATGTTTTTTCTCCATTTTGCAGATAAAGGAAGCTGAGGCATAGCTGGGAAATAATCCTCAATAATCTAGCAAAGGCCAGCAGCAGAACTGAGAGTAAAATCCTTATCTGACACATGTACCTACTGCTTTATCCACTAGCCAGTGCCACTTCTTCCCCCTTATCCAACTTCATACAGTGCAGCAAATGTCAGACCTCCAGCAGGAAAGAGTGGGCACATCCCTGTGTCTCTTTAGAAACTCTTTTATGTTTTTTATTCTGTAGCTGAGTGGGACTAATATGCTCAAAGGCAGCTTGAAACATAAGAGTGAGTTACAGATCTCAAAGAAAGTTAAAAAATAGATCCTATCTTCAAGTCACAGCCCATACGTACATTCCCAACAGAGGTGACTAACCAATAACTGCTTGCATTCCAAGCTCCTAGTGATTGTCCTCTGCACTAATCATGACTGTCAGGATAGATCTGCCAAATGCTGCATTTCATTCTGATGCTGCCACAATGATGCAGTGTTGGATAAACTTGCGAACTCAGTTCCGAGAAGCTCTTCAGCATATAACCATATCAGAGAAAAATAGATATAGCTCAAGCTTTTGTAGAAAGCACAACAACAGAAGTCTCCACTTAAATCTGCTGTGAAATTATTAGTTTGTTTCTCAAAGAATGAGAAAATTAGTAACAATGTTTTCTTCCACCTGTTGACTACAACATCAGTATTTCTAGATGCAACCTGCCTCCTTTTACAGTGATGAAACTCAGGGGAAAAAAAAAAAAGCCACTTAAATATTAAGATCATAAAAACCAGCTTTAGCCTGGAAAATTTAGGATAAGATGATGGAGATCTTTGGAGGCTACCTTGGGGAAAAACCCATGATGAACCTTTAGGGATATGTTACCTTTAGAAAAATAAAACCATATGGAAAAGAATCAGCCTCAAGATCTTGGATGATGTATCGACCATCAAAAAAATATGATATTTTTATGTTGAGATACAACAATAAACAATTTATCGAAGGTTTGCCATTGACTAATGTGACATGCTTTTATGTTTATAGACAGTGTTAATGGATGCATGCATATGTACACCGACCGTGAGAAACTGTATATGAACTGTCACTTACGGATACAATTTTTTTTTTTTTTTTTTTTTTTTTTGAGTGAGCTAACATGATTGCTTGTGACCATGTAAACATATCCTTAGTCTCCCACAATAAGCAGAAGTTGCAGGAACACACTCAGGTGAAAATGACCCTGCTGTAAGTCAACAGGTATGCTCCTCAACATTAAAATGTGAGGACTTAGTTACTCATAGCTTAGGATAACCAGACCATTGCTGGGAGTTTGGGCAGGGCAGGAACTAACAAAACCCAGAGTATACACTTTCTTAATGTGTTACAGAGAAAGTTTTGGACACAGTCCTTATTACAGGTGATTTCACTTAGCTGATGTCTTACAGTGCATACAAAAGGTCAAGGTAACAGTGGCATTGAAAACCTTGACAGGACTAAGACTGTACCTGCCTCTAAATCAGGTAAACAATTAGCGTTGAACATGTGTTCATATTGAGAAGAATACATTGGGGTGTTGTGAATCATAAGCTGAAAGGAAAAAGGGAAAGTCAAGCAAGCAAAAGAGTTTAAAATGGTTCAGATAAGAGAACACAACTTCTACAAAGATAAAAACATGGACATCAAAGGATACTGAAAGAGCAGAAAAGTAAAGGTTATTTATAAATTAAAAACACAGGGCAGACAACAGTTTCTTGAAGTTAGTTTTAAATTTAAGTAAAGGAAGAGACAAAAAACACCGCAGAAGTTTCAAAATCACCCTTAAAGGAGAAACATCTATGCACTCTATAGCAATTCACTACTTCCTGAGTATTGGAACACAGTATTGATGTGTCCTTGTGTCTGTCAGATCCTTACCTGGAAAAAACCAGGATTTTAGCAGAAAATACCCCAAAACCTGAATTCCATTTAGATGTTTATTCTCCTTTGCTGGCCCTGCTTACCTGATTCCTCTCCTGGGATACGTGAGGTATTAAACATTCGTTCCCACTGAGCTGAGCAGAGTGGAACAGTAGATCCCATCAGAAGAATCTGTGCCACGAATGTACATTAAAATGTATTTTTGCATACACAATTAGCAAATTAAAAAGGAAAGAAAAAACAGGATCTGGTTAAAGACAAGCAGTAAAACACTAAGATTTATAATACATCAACTCAGTGACACCCCCACCCCATTCATTGTCTTTCCTTGAACTACATGTGGAAGACTCCACTGACATTCCAGTAGCTGTATTTTTTTCACTCCTACCAAAAGCTCACCCTTCAGGAGGGATGACTGAAGCTAGCTAGCACCTGAAGTCCAAAAAGCTCTCTCAATGGCTGGTCTGGATGCAGAACTTATGCATGCAGCATGCATTACCCCTTAATTTCTTCTTGTAAAGCTACTTCTGGCTGTGTAGGAACAAAACTTCACATTTCTTAGATTTGTGGTTACATACAACTAATCACATCCCTGCTATGACCTTCAGCAAAACTGCTTAATTGTTTCCACAAGATTTGTTCGCTACAACGCACAGCCACTGGACAGAACAGAAATTCAGAATGGGATTTACCTCACCTATCTTTGCTACCTAGAAATTAATGCAACACAGGATTTTATTATCATCTATACTTAGGCTGCCACTGGCCCGCTCTTGACCTCAAGGTTCAGTCCTTTGTCCCAACCACCCCTTGTGCTCACACTACATGGTACCAAAGACTTTTCAGACTTCAGTGGCTCAAAAGTACCATTACATGCCTAGCACATATGAATAACATCTGTTATATGGAATACTTAACATATGCAAGTACAAACCTCTATTTGTCTTTTGGACAAACACATATGTTAATTTCAAATACTGCTATTAGTTGGCATGACAGAATCCTATATTTTTCATAGTTGGTAATTTCTGCCCATGTGCAATTCAGGTGATAGCCAAGATGTTTGGGACCAAAAGTTTAGTTACATCTTACATGTAGTTCTGACAATAAGACATTCTTCTCCTCTCCCATTCTGAAAACTGATCAACTTCTTACCAACTGTGCTGAAAAAAGATCAAAAGCCATTTAAACTGATATACATACTGGCTTGATTTCTTGTCTGTCCAGTTTTTTCCGATAGAGCAGGATGGCATGGATAACATTACCAGCTCTAGCTGCCTGCAGGGTTGTGGGAGATAAATAAAGGAAGTCCTGTAAAGTACATAAGAATCATAAGTTAATGATTACCAGACTACATTTAAAAAAAAAATACTGATAGTACTTCTCATCCACATTCTTAAAGCTTCTTCTGGTCAATATAGAAAAGGCTTTAAAACATAGTGCACCAGTGCAGTGAGTTGATGACTTGAAACTTAAATTTCTTTAAGTCACAATCTCCTTAAACATCATCAGTCCTAAAACAACATGTTAGCTGTTAATCATCCTAGTAGAAAAGACAGTGCTACTTAAAACTTGCATCCAAGGCTACCATATTCCCTCTTTTTGCTTTTAATTTTAGGGTCTTTTACAATTTTAATTCACATCCAGACATTTATGAATATGAGCACACGCCTTGTTAAACTGTGTTACCCATGAAGTTTTACATGGAGCTTTTGAAAGATTACTTGCTGCAGTAAGCACAAAACTGTATAAAACATTACTACATAAGTTTGCCCAAGTGGCAGATGTGCTAAGTTTATTATTAAGATAGCACTGAACTTGAAGACATTGGCTACAGGTTATACTAGAAGAAAGAAAAACAAAGGTCACATACTCAGTGGATTTCTAAACAGAAAGTTATCATGAAATAAGATACCTTGCAGAAATTTTAAAGTGCTGCTTTGACACATGTGTTTATAGTATTTACCTACCATTGCAAAATAGTTACTATTAACCATAATCGGTCCACGTCCTCTAAGGTAGATATATTCTTCCCACCAATCACTAACCTGTAGCAGGAAGAAAAATAAAGCAGTAAAATCTCATAATTTCCACAGTTTGTCTTCTATGTTGAGGATTCCACAACACAACATTCCACAGAGAAGCAGGAAGGAAACTGCTAGCTTGCCTCCCTACTTAAAAAAGACAAACACAAAATACCTAATTTGCATTAAACTTTAGGGAAAACAGCAAAAAAGGGGCAAGAGAATGAAATTAAATTCAAATGTAGCTCTCTGATAAGCTTCTGAAGAAGTCATGATCTTCAGATAATATTTAAGATGTATCAGATCTCCTAAACGTTTTGCAGCCTTTGCCAGGACAGCTTAGGCTACCGGGTACAGCCACATGTTAGATAATGTATCAGGAAGGAATTATATTACAGCTCTCACTATGATGTTGGGGTTTGGGTTTTCCTTTTGATAAAAAACCCCAAACCTATTGTTACAATTCTTTATTTCTCTTCCATATGCTTTAGCTGCTCTCTATAAAAAAATTGCCCTAAATCACTCTTCTAAACTACCTGGGTAGCCAGGCCCATTGTTCAGTTATCAAGTTTAAGAAGTAGATAAACAGACCTCAAAAGCAATCACAACAGCAAAAGCTAAATCACCTGCTCCAGAATAACAAACATAAAATAAGGATTCATTCTTTCAAGTTCCATTCACCACACTGTTTACCAAATCACACAAATTATTTCTGTGCAGATCAGGTGGTCTCCAATGCACTTTACAAAAATATTAGGCAGTTGCAATTGCTGCTTTTTACATTTAAGAAAGAATGAAAGTTAAGCCAAAAAAAGGCAACAGGGAACAAATTAAATTATGTCATTTGCATAATTGAGCCTCCTATTTATCTACTCACATAGTTTGTGGCCCACCAGGATTTTAGTTTCAAATACCATTGAAGCCTTGGTCCCAAATTAAATGCAAAATCTTTGGCAAGACCCTCCATTCTTCTGAACTCTTCATCATCCATAAGTGGACGGACTGATTCCAGATACTAGAATACAGGAAAAGAATCAGCATCAGTATTGTAACTAATAATACGTAGCTTCTTGCCATTCCTACACAAAGCATTTGAACAGTAGACAAAGATTATCCAAACTCAATTCATAAGGTTGCAAATACTATGTTGTTAAAATAAGAGTATACACTCTTCTAAACATCTGCCTGCAAACTACAAAAATGAGATCTTTTTCCAGACATTTGTCAGCAAATCACAAGTGGAAGAGGTTACTTTTCTAAAGACACATTTTCCATTCAAAAGGGGAAGACATACTGTTTCTTCAGTATCAGGCAGAGAGATTTTTTCATCTCTAAAAACCAAGCTTTCAGTTTCTGTGACATACTGTCCTACTTTACACACTTTGCTATAAGGCTTTGTGTCATAAAACACACATTTATATGTTCAAGCTGTGAAAGATAAAAAACCCAGTATGTTTCAAAAGCCCTGGAAATCACACTTTGTTGCATAGTCTTACATCAATAGACATTATATCATCCAATATGAATTATGCCAGCTTCAAATTGTCACCAGTTTCAGTGGTTTGCCATTGCCTTTATTTTAATTTCTATGCAGAGGTTTTAATCCATTACGCCATATTAATACCACCATGCAATACTTTTAGAGGACACGGCAAAAAACCCACAAGGGCACCTAAATACGGATTTAGTGTTACTGAAGAAAATGAATTAATGAATGTACACACCCTATTGACTGTGTCTTTAACAGCTGGAACTGGCAAACGTGGTAAAGATGTCTGGAAACTGTATAACATGGGTTTACGTCCTGAGAAGAGTTTTACAAGTGCCTGAAGAAAAACAAAAACAAAATACACACCTCAAATTATTAGGTTCAACAAAAGAAAAATGGCAGAGTAATAAAGTGTAATGTAACTCATAGTTCTTTTTACTGGTAAATTATATACTGTACTAAATTTAGCAAAATATCCTATTTACCACTGTTCCACAAATCGAAAAGGCACTGACATAAACTAATTTCCTAAAGGTTAAACAACATGTCAGTGGAAGAGAAAGACGTTCATAGTCATTCCTGACTTCCCAGACAATCTTCCAGTCATTAGGCAATATTGTAGTTTATGAAAGGTACACCTTGATCTCAACAGAAAATAAAGACAAAGTTACTTAGCATTTCTTTTCTTCAAAAGTTTACCTCTGTAAAGATTAAAAAAGCAAGTCTACCAGTTGATCTCTTACGATATAGTAGATACTACAAAAATATTTATATTGTGCTTCAAAACAGGAATCACTATCAAGCCCATCACTCTGCTAAGGACCCTAGATAACTATAGCCACCTTTAAAAATAATAATTATGCTTTGGAATCATGGTTTAATATGTTCCAAAGTTATAGCTCAACATCAATAATAGTATTAATGTTACAGGGAGTTTCTTCAAGCGTGAGCCTGTCTTAGTCTACTGCGCGATTTGAACACATCAAATTGTGCAAGCATGCCAGTGTTATACTCAGTGCTTGTGTTACAAAAAAACAACAACAAAACAAAAGAGCCAGAGATGACAATTCCGATCTTAGCTTCAGATATCACAGCATCTCCCGTTTTCTGTGAGAGACTGAAGACAGAAGCAGCATTTCTGTATACAACTACTTCTCAGCTGTGACATGCACTAGGCTGAAAGTCTAGACCATGCAACTTCTAGGCTACACATGAAAGAATTTTGACATTATCACCCTATTTCAGCATGAAAGTAAGGTCAAGTATTACACCGACAATCCAGTGGAACCTTTATTGTCGAAGTCCAATCTTGGTCCAATGTACTATACCATATATTGTATATAGGCCAATAGACTAAAGACAGAAGAAAACAGAAAATGTCATTTCCCTACTAAATTCCCAGAACTTCTCCCTTCTATCCCTCCCCCAACTGACAAAACTATTTGTTAAAATGTAGAGTTTTTCCACCCTCTCAATTTCCTTGGTCAGCACATCTAGAGGAGGTTGTTTTAGGCAGCACAAAACTATTAAGAATTGCAGAGAATTACCAGCAACAAAGACCTCCCTGCAAATGGATCTGTATCAGAGAGCTGTCAGATGTACATGGATGCACCACAGTGATCAGCCCAATGAAATCTAGTTGTGCTTCATGACAAGAAAAATTTGAAGCCTGATGAGAAAAAAAAGCTCAGCTTTTCATAAGAAAAATCTGATTCCATACTTGGAAACAATTTTATTCCAGAACTCTTTAGCCAGGAAAGGTTGAAATTATCTTCAGAGTACCTCCTCAACTGACAAAAACAGCAAACACATTTGACAGTATTTATCTCTTCAGTAAACTTGTAGTAGAGAATTTAACAGTTTAAGACCATTAAAGTGATCTGACAGACGTGCATACTTAATTATATCTGATTTCATATGTAGACACAGCAAATAATTGCATTCTAGCATGTGTTGCATCTGTTCACAGATTATTATTATTTTTTAACTTATTTTTTAAACCTGCAACTACTACTCGGATTTTCCCCCTAATCTTGATACAGGAAATTTGACTTTAGAAGATGAAGTATGTTCATTAAAAGTGCCACCTTCCAACCAGCCTGAAAATCACTGTACTGTGACTGAAATCAGAGCTCAGGTTTTTGATAGGCACAACTATTTGAACAGAAGATAGTATATTCACGATAGCATTTTTCATGCTGCTAATCAGCATGAAAAACAGCTAAGGGGAAAAAAAACACCAAAACAACCCCAACAGGAAAACCCCTCCAGAAAATTACACGATATTAAAAGATTTTAAAAAATCTAGAAAGCTAAGGTAGTCAGTACTGTTTTACTAGGGAAACCAGTCTTCTCTTATGTTGGGACTACCTAAAGAAGGAATAAGGTATTAAAATAGAGCTTCATATTAAGTATAGATGAGACTGTTGGGCATACACCTCTATAGTCAGAATGTATTTTAAAACATATAATACACAACAAAATATAATACACAACAAAATACATATGCAACATATATAACAGACAAAATTTTATAAATACAATACACAACAAAGCATGGTAAGTAGCATTACAGTTCATACTGTTTATGGTTGATGAGGCAATATTAACAGACTTAAAATATCTATTTGGTAGGACATGCTGAAAACCCAGACAGCTACAGCTTCAAGCAATCGACAGAAAACCTTACCATTCAGAGCCTGTACTGTACAAATTCGAGTCATGAGGCTCCTGATACCGCTTCCAGTAGAAACTATCAATTAGAAATTTCATTTGTAACAGATGAACATTAAATTCTATTTTAGTGTACCATTCTGGATACCTGTTCTTGAACATATTTCATAATAAATCATGACATGTTGTTAGTCTAACACACATCAGTTAATTTTTGAGGCTGCAGAGACTAATTTTATCATAGTAGGGCACTTAAGTTATTTATACAATACTGGCAAAAGTGAGTTGAAACAACCCAGTCCAAGTAACAAAACCCCACTTCATCTCTTAGAGCACCTATACGTAGATTTACTCACTTTATACCTACCACATCCTTTAAGGATCCTTTTCCAAAGCACCACAATGATCAACAGGAGCCAGATCGCTCTCATCTTACCCTTATGTAAAAACTGCATAACAAGCTACCTACCTTATACTTTTTCTCCAACTCATTTTGGAGGCATACCAATAAATCAAATGGAAAGGACATTCAATATTATTTTCTTCAAGCTTAAGATTAATTTTAGAATGGATGACCAGAAGTCTTAACATTTCACCAAAAGAATTAGAGTAGCACTTTCTGGGGAGTACAAGATTCTTTGGTGTTGCAGCCCAAGTTCTTTAAGCTGTACTTGCACATCAAGAAAAAGTAGATATTTGAGTTACACAGTGCCAAGGCATTGGCAAATTTAGCATTTATTCTTGAAGCATTTACTCTTCCTTCTACAAGGCCATCCTGAATAGTTTAATTATAGCATCAGAAGGATGACAGTAATTAGTAGAAATATCTACCTAACAGCCTCCTGTCTCATGACACAGAAAAGACAGCAAGGAAAAACCTGCAAAATTTTCTCTTTTAAGGCTTTGAATACATATCAGATAGAAGATAAGATGAAACAAAAAGACAATATATCCTTACCATCCAAAACTTGGTGCCTGCAGAAAGTTTGCCATGTTCAGCGAACATCCAACCATGATAGGAAAGCAGCATTTTTAGAGAGTAGCGCATTGTGATGATAAGGGCAACCCAAAGCCCTGTGCCAAAAAGTATTCCACTCACGATGTTCTGTGTTTGGTTTGACATATAGCCACTATTTAAAACAAAAGCGAGCATGTGTAAGTTAATGTCAGCTTAAGTTCTAAACAGAACCTAATATTGCAAACCTAAGTCTAATGGTACTACAGGCAAGCATTACACAAGCTTCATGCCTCTTTAGCCCTTTTTCATAAACTCCTTTCCAAACACCCTTTCATGCAGCAAGATCAAAGGCCACAGAAGCTGCCAAATGTGCTTCCCAAATACTCAGACAACAATGTAGTAATACTGGTATAGCAACTTACCTATTTCATACCCTCATACATCTGCTTATGGGGCTTACTCTGTCACAAAAATACTGTTCAAAACCTGATACACTTTAACAGGATTAGCTTTAAGAGTAGCTACAAATAAAACTGATTTCCTTTAGAGGAACAGTAACTTTTCAGTCTACTTACGTTGTATCAAGTGTTCGGTTGATTTTAGCTATTATTCCTAAAGAAGGATCAATTTTGGCATACATTGTCGACATCACACCCACAACTACAATAAGCCAGCTAGATGGGCTAGCAGGATAAACGCCAGTGATAATTCCATTCTGGAAAGAAAAGCCTTCACATAATTTTTTCATACTAAAGTGGTTGACTTCATACCATGAAAAGCAATGAAAAACAATTAAGTTTAAAACATTTAAGTCATTTAGTTTTAAAAAAGTAGTTAAGATTATCCAACATTTTCTTATGTATGCTCAACTCAGGAGCAGGGAATGGATTTAGTTTAAATTTGACTGCTACAGAAAATTGTCACAATGATATCAAGAATTAAAGGGACTTTTAAGTTCTTTTGTAGACAACACTGATGCTGCTGCAAGTCTTACAAAAATACTGAAAGGAGAAAACAACTTTGGAACAAATGACACTTCAGGAATTTCCACTTACACTGAGTTAGGCCTCTCTAAAAGAATACATGGCAAAAATATTTCACGGAACAAGACCTGGAAACCAGAATCAAGGTTTTTTTTATATCATTTAAACTGTCCTTCTCATAGCTTTATGAGAAGATTTTATTAAGACTACTGTTAAAAAAATGTTTTTAAAAGAGATGTTGAAGATAGCCTGTAGCTTATCTAGTTTGGTACTAATAAAATAGATACCATTTATGATCCAATGAACAAAACAATAAATTCACAACAATCTGGAAGTTAGAAATACAACTGTGATTCTGTCTACATATTTATGTCTCAACTCTGTCTGAGGATACAGCCAATTCAAATTGAACTGAATGCTCTTATTTATCAGCTCATCTTCATAGCTTCTTTCCTTCTGTAACCAGCATTTCTACATAAATATCCTGGAAAGTACCCCTACTCATCATTAATTCAGACTAATGTTGTTCAAGCACTTACAAATACCTCATCAGAAACATTACTACTTAGCATAACTTGTACAAGATAGGTATTCAGGTAACTTTTTGAAAACAGCAAACATTGTCCTTAATTTGAAAACTTAATTCTGGCAAAGAATACGTAAAATCAAGAGTGTAGTCTTGTAATTTTTAGTGTCATATTACTTAGAGGTACAACTAGTTATATTTCTGATGTGCTAAAAAATTACATAATTACATGATGTATTATGAAGAGAATGAAGTAAATTAAAGCTATTGTTAATTTCTACATCAGTTTCATCTTGCTTCCATAGAATAAATCAAGAAGATGTACCTTCCAGTCTTCGCAGCATCACCCAGTGCTACCTTCCTCAGTATCCCTTGTCTTAACTAAAATCCATACAAGCCTTTCACAGTAAGGAGCTTTATTTGCACAAAGGCAAAAAAATTAAGTTTTGCCTAAACAAAACTTCAGTAAGTCTATAAAACATTAAATAACCCTCAAGCTTGGCGGACATGACAAATTTAAAATACCTTGAATCTGATGAACTTTTTCTTCCATGAATGAACACCAGATAGGTAAATTTGTTTGAGTGCCTCATGGCTCATTTGCAGGTCAATCCCATCTGGAGTTACTGTAAATTGAAAAGCTACTGCTTGATGAGCTTCTGCCATTTTCAGAAAGAGTTCTGTCAAAAAGCAAAGTTAAAAAATTATTTCCTTTTTGTTCAAAGGAACTAGGAGCTAGTCCATTTCTAGCAAGATATCTTCTACACAGTAATTTTGGGAAATATTTCAAAGTATGCCAAACTTACATACAGTAGTTGCCTCTTCCTTACAGGCTATGCTTGCACTTCAGTCTGAGCGTCCAGTATGTTAATTAAGGTACCTCTTCTAACTACAACAGCTGAAAATGGAAGCAAAACACTCTCATGTAACTTAGGCCTTTTGGCAAGATTGCAGCAAGGTGAATATCGTGAATATATGCAATATATAAAAATTCAGAGCAGAGCAGCATATTACGGCCATAATGTTTAGAAAAAGCACATTATGGGTACATAGCATCTAACACTATAATGATAAAGGAGATTCAGAAAATGTTTTTTTCATCATTTTAAAACAAAAGGTATTAAAAGCCTTCACCTCAACTAGCAAATCAAAGCTGCTTCTGGCCGTATCTTCCTCTGAAATTTTTTTCATATCTTAATTTCAAGCTGATTAGTCACAGCAATAAGAGACTATAGCCCCTGCAGCTCCGAGTTCTGGCTGGCAAATAATGGCAAAATCAAAACTATGCAGAGTTGAGGAAACCAAATCACAACTGTCAGAAAAATTACCTTCACATAAACAAATCTGAAATTGAGAGGGCTGCAGCTCAGTTTAACTACCCAAACAAATATCAACAATGGTGCCAATATTGACAAAAGACCATAATAATGGGCAGGCATAACAGGCTTAAATAAAAACCACTGGAAGTTAAAACAGAAATACAACTGTCATTCTGTCTACATATTTATGTCTCAACGCTGTCTGAGGATACAGCCAATTCAAATTGAACTGTATGCTCTTATTTATCAGCTCATCTTCATAGCTTCTTTCCTTCTGTAACCAGCATTTTCACATAAATATCCTGGAAATTACCCCTACTCATCATTAATTCAGACTAATGTTGTTCAAGCACTTACAATAAGAACATAGATTTTTGCAGACAGGCTCTAGGTATAACATTGAAATGGTGCAAACTACATATTCCTGAGGAGACCATCATGATTCCAAAGTCTTTTGTCCACATTCTTTTATTAGCTTACCAAAACTTCTGTGCATAATCGTAAAAACAACATCCTCTTAGAAGTATGGCAAAAAGGCAGAAGAATCCATAACCCCACCTGTAGGTCAGGATTCAAGGGCAAGTTTTAATTTCACATTTTTACTGGTACAAAACACAATATCATCAATACCAAGTGTTTTAAGGTGGCATTTCTATTTAAGCAAAACCAAAAGAAAGTACAACTACTTCATGCCTTTTGAACCCTAAAGGCTGAAATTTACATTTCTTTTGCAAACCTGAAGTTTAGACTTTATAATTAAATTCTGGTAGACATTTATCCCCTGTTGAACAGCATTTGAGGGTTAACTAACCACTGCAGTTTAGCTGGGCACTTCAAAAGCATTTTATTATGACTCTAGTGCTCCTCCTCTAGTCTGTAAATATTCTACTATGTCAAAGTCATCTGGAGCACAGAGAAGGAGTGCAAAGGTATATGAGCAGACAACTAGGGAATGTAAGTATTGGGAATACTGCAGTAATAGTAGGCTTAGGAAATAAATACACAATATTGGGAATGCTGCAGTAATAGTAGGCTTAGGAAATAAATACACAGTATAGGAGGAGAAGGAGCATTAGGCAGAGATGAACAAGATAAGTGCTGTTGCGCAGCATTTAGTAAGGTTGCTGACCAGTAGGTAGTGGCTGTTTGAAATATTTAAAGGGCCTATCCCCAGACCAGCCTGCAATGATCAACCTCTGCAATACAACTACTGCTACAGTGGCTGACGGTAATTCACAGATCTTCAAAATCCATCAGCCACTGCTCAAGTTCTAGAGACTGAGTCCTGGGTGAACCAGGCTTCTGGGCTTCCAGAAGGGTAGCTAAAGCTCACAATATCACAGATGGCATGCAATTTGATCGATGCATGTACTGTGTCTGATTAGGACAACAAAGAAACCAAATCAGCTTTGAACACCAGTTTCAAAACCTTTAAGACAAGCCCTGTATGCTCTAGTAACAACAGCAATTTGTAGTACTTAATGACTATATCACTAACAACTGCTTATTCATAGGGGCCTTGCTGCAGACAAGTATCAGGAAGCCGAAGTCATCTGTCCATTCATTCATTTAAATTGTGCATCACCAGTTCAACATTGAGACCAACACTGCAAGACAGCAATAAAAGAAGACAGGCAGCAGTAATACATGGTATACCCTGGACTCAACATGGTTTGCAAAAAGGGAAAGTACTCTAAGAATTCATCATATGTTTAGCAGTACTACTAAGACTAGGATGGAAAAAAAAACACAACAAAACCAACCATACCCCCATACGGAGAATCAGGCACCTGGATTTGTCTCAAGAAGGGCCAACAGGTTCTCCAGTTCACTCATGGAACTTTGTATTCTGGAATGCCAGTGCCTTAAGTACAAGATCAACTAGTTTCTATTACCCCTCAACTCCCCCGTGACTTCTCAGCCTGGGAATTTGTAACTACCCTCCTTTCTGTTTCTGAAGAGGAAGAATTTCAGGAACCCTTCCCTTTTTAGGCATATGCATTTCTACTGTCCAAGGCAGAAAAAGATTATAAATAGCATTAATCATAAACAGTCAACCTGATATTTTAATGAATTAAAACTTAGCATGATCATAAAATCAAATAAGCTTCAATAAGGAAAATATTCCTTATTGCCAAACAAAGAAATATTATTTCAGCAAGAATTAACCCTGAATCAAGTAAACAAGCCCTGAAAACAAAGACAAGTCTAGTTCTTGGACTGTATTACTTGACCCTAAGATGTGAAACAATCAAATGGCTTGTTTCTTTTCATATCCTTTTCCATAAGAAAAATGTAAGCCTTTAAGACTGTTCTGAATTATGATAGCTGAACACTAAAGACTTCCTGAAGTTCCTTTCTTTGAACACTTATTTTCCTCCTTAAAGACAAATTTAATCATAAGCTGCTGTACACTTCCCCTCCTTTGCATTCCTCTGCTGTCACGTGCTTGCTAGCAAAGTAGGTAAAAGGGCACAGGCCAGAGGAGCACGAGTTAGACTTACAAACTTGACTTGCCAATGTGAGTAAGGCAGCACCCACATCAATTGGCTAACTAACACTGAAACAGTAACTTCTTCTAACTTCAGGCATTTTGGTCAGCAAAATATTTCTGTACAGCATATACTAATTAAACTCATTCCCAACAGAGAGCCATAAACAAAAGCTTTTGACTTTCTTAGCGGTTTCGCCAGGTCTTAGTTAAAGGGGAAAAAAAAGAGCATAATAATGTCTAAAAGTAATCTGAAATGGCTATTTTCATTCCTTTCAATGTTCTTTCATAATATTAATGTATCTTAAAAAACACACTTGCCCCTTAAAGCTTGGTTTCTTTTTTTTTTTTTCCTTTTAAAGGAGAAAGCTGCCTGTTCCTTGCTCTTTTCTGGTTTTACTTCAATTCAAACATGCTGCAGCAGCTGCAGATGTTTCTCCTCTTCCCTTTTCAGATCTCTGCTTAAGCCAATCAAAACTTAACCACAGGTGGTTTTTTTTTCCATTGTTATAAACAAGTACTGCTAGATTGGATGTCACTTTCAAATCAAGAAAACACACCAGAAGACCTCAGCTCTGATAGTTTTTCAGACCATCAGGTCTATGCTGCTATGCCTACTATGCACAAAGCCTCCTCAGACCGCTCTTTTTGCATTTTCAGGATATTTACACTACGAAGATGGAGGTTCAACTCACAGACCTTATGACTTCAGGTTGCAGATGCTGAACAGTCAACTCTGTATGACAGCTTACACCTTCCTACAGCCACAGAAGGGGATGACAGCCTCAGCTCTGGAAAATCTGAAGCTAAAAGAGATCCCATGTGCAGGATACTTCCATTTAGTCATGCACGCAAGAAGTCACTTGTGGTTGGTAATGTCTATATGAAGCACATAACACAGAACACAGTGTCTAAAAGACAGTGAAAGAATTACCATGTGCCTCTTAAAAAGCACCAAGCCATGATACTAAAGTTAAATGTATTACACTACATTGCACAAAACAAGGTTTTAATTCCTGAAGCAGTTACATTTGGAAATGCTTCTGTAGATTTCAGAAGCTTTATATGGATAAAATGATAGTGCTAAAAAAAGTAAAGTCACCACCTCGACCTCAAAAAAAGCAACTCCTCTGCTTTAAGGGGATATCCACGTCGCCTGTTATCTCAGAGCTCATCTTAGCTACTTGCTTCCCAGACATTGCTTGGCTCATGCAATCCATTTTTTTCCCCATTTCCTATTCCTCTTGGAATAGAGAAAACCCTGCCATTTCTCCTTGGCAGCAGTCCAAACATCCACTGGAAAGAGACATAATATTTAAATGTAGTTTTCACATCTATAGCCCCTTTTCCTGCAAGGGAAGCAAGTTAACAAATGCAGAGGAAAACTGGAGAGAAGTCTTATTCACATGACCCAGAATAGCTAAAACCTTGCTGAAAGACTTAATTCTATGACTCTCGCTTGCAAGCTACCTCAACAATTTAGTTTGAGGATCTCCTCACAGATTTTTGACATTTATTTATAGATTAGCTTTTAGTTACAGGGCATACACCTGTGTAGTAACCAAACTAAGCTCACAAAACAATTATCTCCAATTATTCTACTTTGATGATCAAAGTTTTCTTAGAAAAGCAGTGACTGCTGCATACAATTTCTCCAAGAACACTGCTACATACCACCCTGCACAGGTTTCATACTGTTATCACATAGACATCTTTGGCACCCAAACCACAGGCTGTTCACAGATGGTGGGCAGATTTACATTGTCCCTGTGCTAAGAGCTAAAATATGCTGCATCTTGAAGTATGACGGCAGTTCTGAATTCAGAAGCACCCAGAAGCCCTCATAATTTCACACAGATGCAAGGTACTACCAATAAAACAATGAGACGCATCTTATCACACAGGTAGTGTCTTCTGACTCCTGCCAAGTTCCTACTAGCAAGCTTAAAAGTAAAAAAAAAAAACCAACCACATCAAACCCAGAAACCTGACCTTGAAGAATTTTTCACTCCTTTCTTAAAATAAACTTACAGCTTCAAAATTTAGCTTAGCACTTAAGTTTCAAATAGGAATAATAGAGACTGGTGAGGAGAAAAGAGTGATACTAAATCATTTACAATTACATTGTTTAAGGAAGTTTTCAAGATGGGAAGTGGAGAGAGGTATTAATTGAAAGTACACTATACCCAATTTTAATTAGGAAACATACTTAGAACTATATTAAGATTTCCATTTAAAACTAGACACCTTGAACTCAGAAGGTCTTGGGAAACCAAGTAAGTGCCCCCATGTCTTTGTCCCCCAAACAGTTTATTTCAAAAAGAAAAGGCAGGAGGAAGGAATTCCATTTCTATCAGCATGCAAAGCAATAAGAGTTACTGTTTGACTGTTACAAGCAGCCATACAAAACAGGAAAAAAATTCTGGAGCTCCCACAAGTTCTCTTAAAAGACTTCAACTCTGAAACTTGTTTAAATATTGAAAACATTGAAGAAGTTTTATCCAGTATTTTATTGTCCACACATCAGATCTCCCTTCAGGAAATGAGCTTGCTACAGCTCTTGGAAGAAAACAGACATCCAAGAAGTTTCATTTCTATGTTCATCTGTTAACGTATTTTGACACTTTAGGATAGATCACTGAGGACAAACTTGAGGAAATCAGAGCCAGTATTAAAACACAGAACACCTGCGCTGTGTTTGTGCTGAGACAGTGATCAAGTATTTTCTCTCACCTGTTTAAGCTATTACTATAGAAATTTGCATTTTCTACTCTACTAGAAAGCCAAAACTATGAATGCATTTTGTTTTACGCAAATCAATGAATAATTGTTTATGGTCAAATCTGTTGATTTCATACCAGACACTAAACTAAAAGCAAGAGAATTCCAAACACCAAGATGCCCATCCAAGTCTCCTCATGCATTATTCCAAATTTCTTTTCCGATTTCTGTTATTGATGCTCCTGTCAGTCCAAGCCTTTAGTACCACCTACACAACATAATTCAGACTGCCCTATGGCAGCTGACTTTGCCTAGATAGTGTGCTTGCAATGAAATGATATGTAGTGAAGCACAACAAAGCCAGTGCCAACATCCTAAAATAGCTTGCTACCATGTTAGTTTACTTCCACACTTTGCCACCAACTACAGCTTAATGGCAACATTAATCTATACAGCCATCTCAGAAATGGATGCAATCTACAGATAATCAGGGTTGCTTGAGCTTTTTGGTTTTGTTGGAAAAGACTCATGCAAACACCAAAAAGTGTATCAAATACTTGTATCAAGCAGCAGGATCTCTTCTTAGACAAATGTAAAGGGCTAGAGTCTTCCCAAAATTTTTTTGTAAGTGTAGTTGTCTTTGTAACATTCATCAAGTATGTCTTCACCTGTCTGAATTCTGCAGAGGTTCTGAAGTCTATCAGTTTGACACCCTTCCAGATGTTTCATGTACAGCTGTCAAACCCTATTTAAATGATTGAAGACAGCAAAACACAGAGGAAAAAAGGAACCAAACTGCATATAGATTTACAAGTACAGGGACTGAAACTGGGAGTAGTGGCTGATAGACCAGGGGATTTCACTGCCATCCAGATGGACCTCAACAGGCTGGAGAAGTGGGCAGGCTGAAACCTTAACACATTCAACAGAGAGGTGCAAAGTCCTGCACCTAGGGAGGAGTAACTCCATACACTAGTACACGCTGGAGACCGACTGGCTGGAAAGTAACTTTGCAGCAAGTTGCACACAAGCCAGCAAGGTGCCTTTGCAGCAACGGCAGCTAACAGAATCCTGGGGTGCATTAGGAGGAGTGTTGCCACCAGGTTGAGGGAAGTGACTCTTCCCTTCTACTCAGCATTGGTGAGGCCCCATCTTGAATACCGTGTCCAGTTCTGGGCTCCCCAGGGAAAGGGAGAAATGAAACTACTGGAGGGAGTCCAGTGAAGAGCCACTAAGAGGATTAAGGGCTTGAAGCATCAATCCTATTTTTTTTATACAGTGTAAACTGTATAGCTAGCAGAGATGCTTTATGAAATTTAATGCAGGAGTTCATAATAGATCTGCTTCAAAAAATAAACTTACTTTAGAACACTAAGGCCTGAACAGGAAATTCTGTGCTTCAATTGCTTTAAAGGAACAGCAAACCTTGGAAGTCAAATTGGTAGTAACAGTCAAACATTCAAAAAGAGCGAGTTTTCTGCAACTGACAATAATGTACTATTAGTTTGGAGGATAAAAGAAGCTGGATTTTGCAGTAGAATTTTTACAGAGATTTTGCATGAACTTTTAAGACAATGATTCATCTGAATTTTTCAACATTATTCCAGTAACTTTGCCCTCACTAAAAAGCACCAGTGTGTCATTATAAAAGGTTTTTAAATATATGTTGGTATTTTAAACACCACTGTATTGTCCAGTAAGAGTCTGCTAGTCTTAAGGCAGCAGGTAGATTTCTGGAGCTGACCTTAAGTGTCATGTATACTGCAGTGATACAGTGGGAAACAGTACAAACTTCCAATAAAAAATAAACCCTTGGAATTTAATGTTACATGTATATACCTATCTACAGGAAACATTGACTGTTCCTATCAGGTAAAGAAAGCCTGTATTATCAATAATAAAAACCATGTGACTTCAGTAAAGTGTTTTCACGGAGTTTGCTGTAAATGCAGTAGTTTCAGACACTAAAGTGTATCCTGTATAGCAGCATCCAGCACTGACTCAGTAACTCAAGGTCCCATCTGCTCCTATGTGAGTGACTACCTCCCCGCCACTATCTGACATAAATACGAAAATTCTGCCCTAATGCTAGAGGGTCGATTAAGTAAGGCAGCAAACCAGAGAATGCCAGAAGGATGCCAAAAATGCTTTTACTCACGTGCATCTGGTGCTCCTTTGATGCACAGTTGAACAAAGTTAAAACTAAAACTAAACAAAAAGCAGTTTAACAGAAATCCAAAGATGGAAGTTGTCTAGGGGTTTATGTCTTTCAAAGGAAATTCAGGTTTTGACCTATAAAATCTTCAGTAAACAGTATAAAATATACAGATCAAACATTTAAACATATGTCAAAAAAGATGGTCTTGTCTCTTTTGTATCTGTTTATTGGATATTCTATCAGCTAACACCACTTTCTTGCAGTGTATGCTATGCTTCTGCAAAAAGGTAACAAGATACCAAAGCCTAAGAAAGAGCAGAGCTTATTCATAGTTTGTGTGATATTCCACAAGGCACTGACTTCTGAACTTACTATAAAGATTAATCAGATACTGTTACTCACTTGAGAATATCTATTTCTAAATAGCTTCCTTACATACTAGCCTTCAATAATATCTAACCATGCTTCAGCATATAAAAAGACACTGATACTTGCTGCTCTCAAGTCTTACCAATAACTCACCCACCTTACAATGATCAATCATATTCTATAGACACAATATCATTAAAAGAAATCTGAGGAGTGAAGCCAAATAATTTCTGTGCAATAGTCATGTGGATTAAATTCACTCAACAGGGCTTCTCAGGTGAACCTAATGACTATGGCATAGAAATAAAACAGAAATCAAAGAATCACTCTGCTTTAAAACCTGAATTAACATAGCATTCAATCAATTATCATTTGATCTGACAAAAACAAAGTTAAACTGACAGGTTCTCTCATGCCACTTTAGTTGTGACTGATACATGCTAAAAACAGTTTAAGCCTCCTAAAAGCTGAATCTGCTGTTTATGCAGCAGTTCTCTCTCATAGGGTCTCCAAAGTAAAATTACTATGCCATGACTGAAGTGGCTAAAGTGACTTGGAAAGAGACTTCTCCAACCACCATCATCTGACATGTAAATTTCAAGTTCTCATCTTTGGTTATTGCTAATGATTGGCTCCAATGCTTTCCACCTCACACACAGCTGACAGCTGTGGCCCCTTGGAATTGCAAATATCTTAAAGGATTTCTCACATCTAAAAAATGAACAAATGCTGTGGTTCAAGCTAAGATGGAGAACTGAATACATATATTTGCCAAGGTACAGCAACGCTGGGACCTACTGCAAACCTTACCCACAGCAGACAGTTTGAAATCAGAACAGCTAAGGAATTTGCAGTAACTTGCTGTCCCACTGACAAACCTATCAGGTTGTGTCCCACCCTCAGCAGTTTTCCAAGATCACCTGTGGGTGAATATTAGCTAGCTTCTGCAGGCATCTCCTTTGGAATCTTGGGCCAATTTCTTCATTCCCTTCCCAAGTGGTAAACTGGAGCAACGGGCATATATGGAAGGGAAGAGATAATAACAGACCAATGAATGAAACGTAAGCATACCTGAACAGCTGTTTTCCTTAAAAGTGGACTTGAGATCTATTTGTCACACAGAAATCTTCTGTCCCGCAAGCTTACTGCAGCTGAGATCTTGAATAGGTTAGGACACACTGAGAGGCAGATTCATTCCAATGCTGCTATCTCCTAATAGACATTAGACTACAGCAATGGCAAACAGTCAGTTGTAGCTCTGAAATAGGAAGTCAAGAAAAACAGTTTGAGCTTTGATTCACACACAGCTTTCAACCACTCAGAAGGACTGAATCAGACTGGAACCATTTTAGAAAAAGTGATGGAAATGGAGAGAAGAGTCACAAGCAGGAGTTCTGAAACACTGTTTTCCATTACACTGGATGAATGTATTATCTGATCGATCTGTCTTCATTTAACAGGTCTGAGATGGTGAGGAATTGTGGAGTGAAAGAAAGTTCATCTGCTACCCAGCCAGTCATTTCTGAGGGCTCAAACTAGTGATCACTAGCTAATGCCGTAAGCAAGGTGATCTCAGGGGCTAGACTCCAATGTTAGTTTCAGCTTAAGACATCCAAGCATCTGCCTGCAGGCTTTAAACTCCCATTAGAGCCAACACAGATACCATCAAGACTTCTTGGAGAGATGCTCACAGAACAGACCGTTTTCACTGGCACTTCCAGGAGAAAAGCCACAGATAGTAAATTGTCTTCTCACCTGATCAAACCGGAGACAGTCAGGCAAAGAAGTAGAAGAGACTGGCTATAGCAGACAATGTGCTACTTACTAGGCTAACACTAAGGAATATTAATCCCTACAGTTTCTGGATCATATGGCCTCTCTCTTCTTCCCAAATAGCATGCTCCTGTAAAAGATGGTTCCAAACTGTACCGTTTAACCAAAACAAAAAAAACCCCACAAACCCAACCCAAAACCAAAACACTGACATGCTCCACAACTGTAATCAAAACAGAAACTTTTACAATTGTCATATTATTTACATTTTTCTCCCCTATACGGAGTAGGATATACTATACTGTTCCTAGACCTTTTAGATTATTCTAGTCTCTATTGCAATACACATTATATTGTAAACATCCCAGCAAGCTACCTCCCCTGACCTTCTAGAAATTCAGAATAAACTTGCAGAGTGAGAGATATGCATACAAAACTAAAACACTGCACAGTTATACCATGCAGAAACCTCCCCCACCCCACCCCAAAACCTAGGCTCTAGATCTGGGTATTTCTTTTTAATACTGCTATAAAGGACACACCTTGGCATTTAGATTATATGAGTTTTATCCCTTGTCTCTCCCTTTGCACTAATGAGCTTCTATGCTCATGCAGTAAAGAATTATTATTATCTTCTCTATAACAACAAATATTTTTGGAATGGCAGGACTTTTACGAGATATGTAAGAAGTCACATTTTAGGACTTCAGAGATCCTGGAAGATGGACAACAGTGATTGGTGACCAAAGGCAAACTGAATGGACTGCTTTCACAGTAGTTCAATGATCATTTACTGTAGAAGGTTGAAAGACCTGAGTTCGGTCTTTCAGCTTGTATAAGGCTCAAAGACTGAAGAACCAGCTCCAAACATTTTACAAATATTTAAATTGACCATTCTATTAAAGTTAATCCAGAACTGGAAAAAGAGGGGTGCTTTTCAGTCATTTAGAGCTTCTTTTTCTGAACATGTGGAGTTCAGGACTATGATGTAGCATGCTGCAGGATGAAGACAGTGGTTTTGAATATCAAAAAAAAAATACACAGTTTTGGGGTTGGGGGGGTGTTTGTTTTGCAGTTTGTTTTTTTTGTTTGTTTTTAAATACAAGCATTCACTTAAGCCACCTTTTACCCAAGATTTTCCAAAACCAGTCATGTTCAGGATTCAACATTCCAACTACCCCTGCGAACAGAAACATCCCCCCAGCCGAGCAACCGCCGATCGCTCCAGAACTTGTGTTTGGTTTTATTTGCTCCGGGTCCTCTCGCCCCGATTTCCACCACGGGACGCAGGGAGTTGGCGGGCCGGCTCCCGCTCGACGAGGGGGCGGAGGGCCTCTGCGGGGCACGGCCCCGCCCCAGGCGCCCCGCCCCGCGCCTGCTCACGTGACCACTCCCGAGAAGTGGGTGAAAGGTCGCGCCGCCGCAGCGACGCGCAGGCCAACGAGAGGTAGGCGAGGGGGGGGGCAGCCCGGCCCCGGGCCACCGGCACCCTCAACCGCTCCAGGCTTTTCCAGGCGGGCCATGAAGGCACTGCCAACGGCAGACAACAGCTTCCCATGAGAAGGACGGCAAGCGATGGAGAAAAAAAAGTATATCTCAAAGCCTGGAGAAAAAAAGGGTGTGCTTCCCTTGTGCAACTTCAAAGCTTCTGTTCTGGTCCTCAGTGCTAAAAAGCTTCAGTTGCTTGATGTTACAGTTTTCTTTAACCAAGAATAGTGTTTTCTTCCTGGAAGAAGCTCTTGAATCAAGGCTGTAATGCCCCAAAATTTTAAAGAGCCCTCAGATCAACTCATCTTTCAAACAAAGTCACAGCTATGACAGAGCCCAATACCTATGTAATCATGTAAAGTTACATTTCCTGAACAAATGGACTTCCACATCATACTTACCTACAATATCACCTGTGCTATTATAAACTGGTAATTATTAGCTTATATCAGTATATCGCTATGCTTATAACAGGAAAAGAACCTGCTCATTACCACTGAAGACTACGATACTTTTTTTTATATAACATCCATTCACAATGGTCAGAAAACACATAAAAGAGCTTGTAGATCTGGAAATTGAAGAGGTCAGACACTCGGGAAAACACGATTATTTAAGGAGAGGAGAATGAAGGCATTATTAGATCTTCTCAGTGCTACACTCCTACAAACGTGATAAAGAAGAGGGTAGTTTTCTGTACAGTAGTCTCCTCTAGACTGCAGAGTTTAAATATGATTGTCCTCCAAGTGCTGACAAATTGCCAGATAAAAGGAAGAATGAGATATTTGTCTTGATCCTACTTTGCACTCTTCTCTTTGAAAGAAAAGGTGCTTCCTGTTACAGTTCCATCAACACTAGTATAGATCTGTTAGAACTGGGTTGTAACTGAAGTAATATTTTAGGTTGATTTTTCAGTTTAAACCAGAAAAGACAGTGCAAAATATGAAAGTTGTGTGAAAATGAAGTAAGAAAACGGAGTTCCAAGATGCTGCAAAAATCTTAAATCTACCTTTGGCAACAAGTCTAATTGGCATTCTCATCCAGTAAACCTGCCATACCATGAACAAAATACAACATTTTCTGTGTGTATCTCAAAAGCAGTTTGCAGCGACTGTGGTTTATAGGTTTCACAGCCTGCAATCACACAAGCATATGGACGAGTCTCTCACACACACTTCTTCGGTATTTAGTTTACGCACACTTGAAACCCCACCACTGATACCAAGCCGCGTGCACACTTCTACAGAGCTGAAACTTGTCCTGCTAACGGGTCAAAGCAGCTCCTCTAACGCGGAAGGCTGAGGGTCACCAACGTCGTATGTGTTCACTCGGCGTAGATTTCGTGAATCTCCCCATGTAACTCCGTAACACCGCTCCCCCCGCCGCTCCCTTATCTGCGGCAGTAACGCACTAAGCCCCACGCCAAGGGAACACCCGAGCAGGATGCCAAGGACACCTTGCCTTTCCAGTGCACTCCCGCGCCCGCCGAGGAGCAGCCCCGCTCCCACAGCGCTCCCCGCGTTTTCACCCCTTCCTCCAGCACGGATAAGCCCCGCTCAAGAAACAGCACACGGCGCACTCGCACATTTACCACAAAACTTCGTGCTCGCCCTAATGAAAATAATAATTAGGCTAAAAACAAACCAACCGAGCCCGCCCGCCTGACCCCGGTCTCGTCCTCCCTCAGCCCCGCCGCGGACGGCGGCGCACTGCGGACGCGCCGCGGCTGGGGGGCCGGGGGGGGGGGG